GAATATTTTTTTTTTTATTATTCAAACGTCAAAGACAATAAATGTGCTCTTAACGGCTTTATAAAACCACTAAAACTATCACAATGCTTTATGTGGTTAGGCAACACATTGCAATCTAACAAGCCCTTAGACATTACGGAGTTGAGCATTTGACTTGTATTACATCTTTCTGGCAATATAAAATAATGTCGGTTTCTAGTATTATAAGAATGACATCCCCAAAAAAAACTTAATTCAATTACAAATGTATTCTGGTAACATTCCACTTTTTGTCTTAAAGAAAAACACATGAACATTGAACACAATTTTTTGCTTAACAGACATAACGTTGAAGGCATTATGCATTGTAGCAATAGATGTGTATTTACCGCATCTTAAAATAGTTCTTAATGCTCTATTCTGTCGAATTTGCAGTTGTTTGATTTTATAACCCGATAGGCCATACAATAAGGCAGAACAATACTCCAGATGTGCAGCAGGTATGCTGTTGTATAACATTAATTTAGTACCCATTGACAAACTACCTCGCGCTCTTGCAATAAATCCAACCTTCCTAGATAACTTTCTAGTAATATAGTCAGCATCAGGATATAAACTGAAACTTACATCAAATAGCACTCCTAAATACCTGGTCTATCTCACTTGTTTGATCTCATTTTTGTCTATTCTAATATCTATGTTTTCCAGAATAACGCTATTTAACTTCGATGGCGTTTACTGCACTGGTTCTCAAATGGTACCTATATGTGAAAAAGTGTACTAGAAAATTATGAAATATAATTGAGCCATAGTTGCAATCGAGTAGTTGAGTATTCAATCACATTAACTTGCTGTTTATTCAAATTACTGTGGCGTAGCAAACTTTACCTGTTTTATCTAATGGGAAGTTGAAAAAATATCTGTTGCTTTACACCAACTATTTCTTATTTCATGGGGGATATTCACACATAGTTCTGATGTATTTTCTGATCTTTTTAAATGTGACATGAAAACCATTTGTAGTCCAGTCGGTGAAGGATAGTTCCTTTTTTCAGGATTACAAGAATCTACCGAACCCCATTCTCGCGCAAATATTAGGAATGACGATTCTATATTTTTATAAAAGAAAAATGTACCGGACATTTTACATATTTAGCGTTTTACTTGCTGATTTACAATTAAAAAACATTGTTTTTTTTTTAATTGCGATTTATTCCTGGTCTCTTAAGTTGTTGTGTAGCCCAAATTTAAAAAAACTAGAAAACGCTAAAAGCGCAATTACTGAAAAACTGACGCCTTATGTTTAGTTCTATTGCGGCATTTCTCTGTTTTAAATAGTCAATCCTTATAGTTTCTTTATTTTTACGTGTTTCTTGGTAGAAGCTTCTTCATAGAGAAAATGGATGGAAGAGATTCTAATTTTAACTTTTGAAAATTTCTCGAGTTATATATTGTGTACCTATAATTCATGTGTACAACACAACTATTATTTTCTTATCTTCTTCGAGCTCTTTTATTTGGCACAACTATGGTTGTCGTATTTAGCCCTCTTTCACCACTAAATTACTCTAATCTATTCCATTCGATTATTTAGAATTGATGAGAAGAAGATCGAGAATTCACCTCTATTCGATTATTAAATATACGATGTCAGGAACATCCCGATTATACAAACAACTGGATTATTACTACTTACTAGTAATATAGGGAATAGTTAGTCATATAGGCACAAAGTCTGAAAAAAAATTATTACAAGTTATTTGTTGCAGGTAAGGACGGAGTCACTGGCCACTGCAAAGAAAAAGGTAATTTTTTAAATATGTTTTTCTTAAAATTTTATTTATTTTTATGAAATCCATTCGCTGTCTTTGATCTAATAAGACTTGTACTAAATGAAAGCCCATCTTGTGCTAATTTTGCGTTTTTTGGCGCACACGTATAAGCGTTTCAAAAAGTTATAAAGTTAAAAAAACGATAAGTTAGTTTCTGTTATTTTCAGTTTTTTTTCAGACAAGCCGAGCCGTTGTCTGATAGATAGTTAGATAGTTGTTACGTGTATCCGGGTTGGAATGGAAAAAAAATATGTGTCCTGTATTAACATTGACATTAACATTATTCTGCGTATTACATGGACTTGCAACAAAGTTTTTATGGTTTTTTTCGTTTAAATGCGTCTTGTGATGTAAAATTGACCATGTTGAAAAAATTAGTAAAGTTTGTGCGTCCAGAATGAGTGACGGTATAACGAGTGAAATTTGTACATTGATTTCTCTAAAAGCTAATTTTTAAAACTTAAATATTTAAGCAGATTAAAAAGGTCTCGAAAATTTACCTTTTTGGACTTTTCGTATTACAGTGACTAATTCCTTATTAGGGCAAGTAGTTTTGCCTTTTCCATTTAAGAACAGATTCAATAAAACTACCCAGGGGCCGACTATCAGTTATTTCTATTTTTATTTTTATAGTGCACAGGATTTTGACTAATAATAGGTCTATAATAATAATCTCTATATATTTATATAAAAATAGGTATATATTACCTACACTTCCAGTATACCCTTGCAACCCTATTAAAAATATTGATTGCAATTTTAACTGAGCCTCGTCACGCGGATCTTTGTCTTCGGATATATTTCTTATTATATATAACAGAGAGATAGTAACTTACATTAATTAGTCACCTCCTAAGCCTTAAATATGCATCCGTAACGCATAAGCGGGTATGGATTGAGTGATTTCAGTCGTTATTGTCGATTTCGGGTTATGGTCAACAAATTCTGATAAATTAAATAAAATAAACCGCATTCTTCTAGATAAAGAAAGCAGACGTTTGACCATTTTACAATAAATTTAGTTCCATTTAACATTTGCTTCTAGGCCGTTTTACAATTTTATTGCCCGCAATATTTCCTTCTACGCTTGCGCATTTTATCGGTTCTCGAATTTCCGGCAACTCTTATTGCACTTGCCGGCTATAGTTCCAAACCTAAAATTTATTGCAGCTTGCCGCAATTTTAGTGACTTCTGGTTCTTTTAATGCTGGCAACTGTTGACTCATAGTAATATAAATCACCATCACTGGCATATTTACTTATTTTCGTTTTTTATCGAATTAAACTTCAACTTATGTTAATCACAATATTTCCCTCGGCAATATAATTGTAACCTCAAACGAAAACAAAACAAACGAACTTTGGATTTTGCACGTGTGGTGAATAGTTGGTACGCTTGATCGATTTGTCTAAATGTGAGGTTTAATATTGCATACTGTAAAGCGTTATACTACCTGTCATTCAAACTCTTTCTCTAACGTGTCGTTCGAGTCTCCGGAAATATTATTACACCTTAATTCCCGTTATTTTAGTATCACGCCGTAAAAATCATTAATTTGAGTTGCGGGTCGTGATCAATGATGGTTAAGCCTTCCTAGTTAAACTTAATCTGATCAATCCCAGAGCGACATTCACAGCAAATATTGTCGAAGAATTCAGATCAACAAATAAAAGAGAACTAACCAATACGTTTCAAAAAATTTTTTTCTGAGCTTTTCTGCTGACCCAAACTAGCAAATTTAACTGAATCGGAATGCAGCCTATCATTTACTTCACAGTTGCCCTTGTCGTTTGGTGTGTTAATTTGTAGAAACATGTCACGGTTTCACGTGCTAGTGTTGTATGGCCCTTAAACAGCTTTCGTTGCGGTTTTGTTGTGCACAAGTAGTGCAGTGTCGTCAGCCTATTGTATTATACAGGTATAGGAATTTGTCAATGTCACTTTCGTAGCATAGGTCCTAGGCAATGGCGCATCCAGCTTTCGAATCAAGGGGGGTCAAGTAGTAAAAATGCAGTCTTATTTCGATTCTTCTCCCACTTCTATCTGGCCTACTTCCTTTCTGCCCTAATGTCCCACCTCTGCCAGAATCCCAGAGCGATTGTATTCTATCAGCATTTAATCGGACGGTTCTACTTTTAATTCAGTTTTATTCCTCAACTGTTTTGAGCTCGTGTTTAGTTGTGATAACAATTGTTAACAGTAACAGGTATGGAATTCACTATTCAGATGGAACCTGACGAAGAATTCCATTTTCCATGTGACTCAAAACAGGTTAGTGAAGTATTAATTAATATTTTTTTCCGATTTTGTCATCAACTCATGGACGCAATTTATCTATTTCTGGTAGTGTGCGAATAGGATAATTCGTGTTAAGGCCGTTTTACAGTCGGCAATTTTATTGCCCACAACTTTCTTGCACGCAATATTTCGTTCTACGCTTACGCATATTATCAGTTCTCGAGAAGCCGGCAATTTTTATTGCACGTGTCGGCTGCAGATATATTTTCTTAACCGTCCGCACCAATCTTGGCTGATTGCGCTTGCGCGTATCACTGCCGCGTTGCCGGATTGATACTTCCATTGCGAACGAAGCTAAAACCACAGAAAAACACGTTTTCTTGTAGATTCTAGCACGTTTTTAGTTCAGTGGTTGTTGCTGAAATTCATGCTAATTCCATCGTTAGTGATTTATACAATTAGTTCACGCAGTAAAGATTTGGATTCGTGGAGTTTTAATAGTCATGGATCTTGTTTGTTTTTGATTGTTTTCTGCTTTCGAAAAATAAGTATTATTGAAACGCAGTTTAAGAAACTGGCATCGTTGCAAAAGTGAGAAATATTACGATTCAAAGGAACCATTTGGGTCCATGACGTCAATAACCCGTTATCAAACCCAAATTTTCTGCTCGAACTAAGGCCCATTTTCATCAGAAACAAGCGACACGCAGTTTGACGAAACTAAGTTTATGTTAAACGCCGAAATTAAACGCGTTTAACGACGGACCGTTTTTACCAGCGCTTCGGTCCGTTTCACAAACTGCGTTTATTGAAACGCAGTTTAAGAAACTGGAAAGACTGGCATCGTTGCTAAAGTGACAAATATTACGACTCTCATCGCAAAATCATCTTATCAAGGAACCATTTCGGTCCATAACATTACCAACATATGGACATAACATCTTACCAAACCCAAACTTTCTGCTCGAACTAACCTTAAAATCTTAAAGCTTGCTTTGTTTATGCACGGTTTGTGCATTCGTGTATGGGTTATGGCTATGGTATACACGTTTTTATTAGATTTCCTATTTGAATTGATATTTTTTTCTTAACCGTCCGCACCAGTCCTGGCTGATTGCGCTTGCGCGTCTCTCTACCGCGTTGCCGGGTTGCGCCGGTTCCATTGCGAACGAAATTATTACCTCAGAAAAACACGGATTCTTGTGGATTCTAGCACGTTTTTAGTTCAATGGCTCCAGCCGAAATGCCAGCTATATTTCACCCCATAAGACCTGCACCGTTTCGGTTCAAATACAACTTCTAAAATAATACTAAATACTGTATCGGACCTCGAAGGCTTCGAACATAGTGGAGCGATGAGGATAGCGGCGAGCAAGCAGCGCGACATCGCGATGAGCAAGCCTCGAGGTGCCTGAGTAGATTGGCTGACTATCGGGATACCTATATTATTTTCATTTGTTTATCGGGAAGTTAAAATGTTAAAAGCGACAACAATTTGGTCACTAGTGCCGCTAAAATTTGGTATTCTCGTAACCAACAAAGTAGAAGATGTAGTGTACACGAAATGTTTCTCACGTGTCGTGTCCATTTCTTTCGCTACTTCATCCCATTATTTATCCAAAATATACCGATTATGGTGATTTTTGTCCTTTTGATCCCATACTCTCCCTTACAAAAACTAAATCTATTAATCTTTCTCCACTATGTTCGTCGTCTAAGCTACTAGAGATGGGTGGGATTCGTATGATTCGTACATTGATACGAATCCTTCCAGTGAGTCGAATGGTACGAATCCCTAAAAAAAGCGATTCATACATTTTGTATCGGCTTAGAATCGCATCGCGTTCCAGTACCAGTACTGTCAACAAGATCTCGGGCTGATGCCATTGCGTGATAGAAAATAAGATGACGGAAAATATTTTTTCAATTAAATTAAAAATATATTTATTATGCATTATTACAAAATAGTAATAACGTTTATTATTATATGTTAAATAATATGAAATATTACAAAATAGACATCTAAATATTAATTGTTTGGTGTTACAAAATAAAATAATACTCAACAGCTAAGATATAACTAAAAAGAAAATGTTAAACAATAATAGAATGTACAAACATAATTAAACTGGCACAGGTTTTGCATTAAAATTGATTGCATATACTTTCCTGACTTTGTTTCAATTCAAAATTCAGTTTTTATGTGTAGCGTTGTTGCTGATTTAAGCCTTCGAAATGCATGCCAAGGCTTAAAGCAGCAACAACGCTATACATGAAAACTGATGATGGTGGAAAAATACACCGAAACGTATTTTGATTAATAAATAGAGACAATAAATGACTGAAACCCAGGAATAGATTTGAATTAAAATTGATGAATAACAATTGTGACACTTTATTGGAACTTAATTTTTGACCGTTTTTTTATCAATTGTTAGACCTCCTTTAGAGAATATCCGCTCTGCTGGCTCGGAAGTTGCTACAATGCCCATCTTTTTTTCATTCATTTTCATCATAAATGGAATAAACGTGGACATGTAGATTGTCTTTTGTACCACCACGTTAGTTTTAATATCATGGGTACCGGTACCTAAGGCAAACTAATACGAATGTTAGCGGCTTCGATCGATTGCATCGATACGAAATGAACGAATCTTCTGGTACGTAGGAATCTTTTCTTGATACGAATCACTAAAAAAATTCGAATCGCACACCTCTATACGGCCTACCTAAGCCTTACTGACGAGTCTAATGGATATGCCCGGGACGAAACGCATGGAGCTTCAACCAACGCCAAAGTCGTTTACTTTTTTTTAAATTAATTGTTTCTGTTTAAGATGTAATGTTATAGGAGAAAAAAATGTTATGCTGCATATTTTTTTTCATTTTCATTTTTCACAGTCATGTATATAACTAAAGTGGATGTCATAGATAACATTTAAATATATCTGTTCATTATTTTAGAAAGCAGAAAACAATCAAAAACAAACAAGATCCATTACTATTAAACTCCAAGAATCCAAATTTTTACTGCGGGAATTAATTGTATAAATCACTAACGATAGAATTAGCATGAATTTCAGCAACAGCCATTGAACTAAAAACGTGCTAGAATCCACAAGTATCCGTATTTTTCTGAGGTTATAATTTCGTTCGCAATGGAAATATCAACCCGGCAACGCGGTAGAGAGACGCGCAAGCGCAATCATCCAGGACTGGTGCGGACGGTTAAGAAAAAATAGGTGCTTGTCGCTTTGAATATAAAACTAACTTAGTTTTATATTCAAAGGCTTGCCAGCTGTAGTTTCAAACCTAAAATTTATTGCAGCTGGTAGCAATTTTAGTGACTTTTCTGGTTCTTTTCCTGCTGCCAACTGTTCACTCATAGTAATATAAATCACCAGCACTAGCACTTTTGCTTATTTTCGTTCTTCATCGAAATAAAATCCAACTTATGTTAATCACAATAATTCCCTTGGCAATGTAATTGTAACCTCAAACGAAGACAAAACCATCTTTGGATTTTTCACGTATAGTGAATAGTTGGTACGATTGATCGATTTGTCTATATGTGAGGTTTAACATTACACACTGTAAAGCGGAGTACTGAAATTATAGCTGCAAAAAAATAGCCGCAAGGAAGTTGCGGGCAATAAAATTGCCGACTGTAATACGCTCTTTAGGTAAGTTAATTTATAATTTATGAGTTTTTTTAAGTTTTAAGCTATTGCATAAAATTATACGATAACGATAGCACATTTATCGTACAACCTAATAAATATACGAGTTTACTTATATGAGTTTACTGCAAGATAATCTGAGCCGGTAAGTTACTGCGCCGGTTCGTTGGGTTGGCGCACCAAGCCATTTGCGCCGCACTACGCCAACTCAAGAAAATGCACTGTGTAACCCAGGCCGACCCCACAGCTCTTCTCCAAACTCATTCCAGCACGCGTTTGGCAATCTTCAATAGTTTAAAAGAAAAAAACTCATAAATTATAAATTAACCTGCCTAAAATAAGAAAAACATATTCACACCAGAAAGTAGAGGTGTGTTATGCGGGTCCAAAAGGAACACGTAAATTTTCAAATGTTTCATTAAAAATGGACAATGATGATGGTAGAAATAATGGTAATAAATAATGATTCAGTTTATAAAAAAATAATTCTTAGGATTTGTAACCTGAAAATAATATATTTTAAAAGCATAAACAAAACAAGGGTCATAAAAACTACTTAAAGGAAAAAACTGATAATAAAATCGAATGGTTTAAATAAAATATACGCTTTGTATGCGAAAATGGTTAAAAAGCTAATTTCCATTTAAAAATTAAATAACATTTTAGAATATTTTTTTGCGTATTCCTTTTGCTAAATCTATTTCTTCGCTCGTTTATGATGATAACCTTATAGAACTACTCCATCTGCATGATAGGATGGAAGGATAGGATAGGATACAATCCATTA